AAGCATAAGAATTGTGATATTTTCATTTTTAAAAGAAAATTAGTTTAATGGCATCAAGGTTTTTAAGATCTTGGATTTGTTAGTTTTATTAATAAAACTACTTGTAAGTGATTTGCCAAAAGAAAATAAAAGGGGTGAAAAGAAGAAAAATAAAAAATATATATCCCTCAGCAAGATCACATTAGTCTTTCTTTCAAAAACTCCATATATTTCACACACTATGTGAGATTCCTCATTAGATTAAATCATGATTTTAAGTTTTTGGTTGATAAATTTTAGGGTTGGCAATGGGTAAGGGCTAGCCCTGGCCCATTCCTGATCCCTATAAAGCAGGCCCAAGCTCGGCTTGGGTAACAGGGCAAGGTGGGGGTGGGCTGGCCTTAGCCCATTCCTTGTCCGAGGTGGACAACACCATGGCCTAAAGCCAACTCTAATTATTTTTTTCTAAAATACGAAATTCTCTGTTTATAGGAAGAAATTACAAAGAAGGTTGTTCACCTTATTTTTTTTTTAGTTTTTTCAAAATTGCCCCTTGGTCTGAGGATGGAACCCTGTATTCGAATATAAAATTTGAATTTTTTTAATTTTTAATTTTTAGTTTTTTCATTAGTCGGTTAGTGCCCGAAGCTTTAGGGTAGTGCCCTAATAACGAAAAAACCAAAAAGAAGAAAAATTAAATTTTATCCAAGGATGTTCTCGGACTCATGGGCAATTTTGAAAAAATGAAAAAAAGTGGGTTGATTGACCTTTTTTGTAATTTCCACCAATAAATGGAACATGTGGTATTTTAAAAAAGAATTTATTGTCAATATGTAAATCACTCAATTATTAATTTTCTTAGAACCCGTAAATTTGGGTTTGTATTCAAATTTACAAGTGTAAATAGAGAGATATACGGAGACAACATTAAACCTGGATAATATGAACTCCCATGGATTCGAAATCGTGGATGACTTGAATCTTGGAAGAAGAATCGGAGGCCTTAGTAGAAGGTCGACTGTAGACATCGGTTGGATGACCCATTGAAATACTCGCCTTTACCATGAATTTACCAAGATAACCAGTTCCGCCAATTATCAATATCTTGCTCTTCCAACTCATTGTTCACTTCTTTCTCCTCCTCCCTCCCACTCTCAGAAATGATATGACAGGAGTGTATGGAAGGGAGAGAGCTCATGGGATTTGTAGGTGGGCCAATAATTGAGTGGGAGAGGTTGCATTCTCATGGAACAGTAATATGGTCCACAGGTCTAGCAAACGTCAGTGAGACTCCTTAGGTAATGAAAGGGACTGCCGCGGCTGAAAAAGTATAATGAGGGGACTTAGAAATCTCCACCACGGACCACCAAAGAGAAATACAGAAAGAGAAAAAGTTTCTATGGGTCTCTATGCGTTGAACTAGTTCTTCATTCATCAAATACAACCCATACAATATATGTCCATCCCTTTAATACTACCTTCCAAAAGACTTTCTAAATCTTTTCTTTCCTAAAGGGTTTTCTTACTAAAAGATGATACACTTTCCCTCTCTAAAAGGATAACTTCACAACCCAGTACAATATACGTCCTTCCCTCTAATACTACCTTCCAAAAGACTTTCTAAACATTTCCCTTCCTAAAGGATTTTCTTACTGAAAAATGACATACACTTTTTCTTCTTTGAAAAGATAACTTCCTACCCACCTTAATCTTGAAAGACACATTTTTCTATTCATCTTATCATTCTTAAGAAAGAGAAACACACAAAGAGAAGAAGTTTATATCTCTCTCTCGACATTAAACTACTTTTTCATTCATCAAATGCAACCCAATACAATATACGTTCACCCCTTTAACACTACATTCCAAAAGACTTTCTAAACCTTTCCCTTCCTAAAGGATTTCCTTATTAAAAAATGACATACACTTTCCTTCTCTAAAAAGGTAACTCCCTACCCACTTTAATCTTAATGTCCAACCTTTTACCCATCTTAAGTAAAAATTATAAAATACACCTTTAAATGAACTATTTATGCAACTTATCCCCATCCTAATTTTTTCTCACACTTTTTTCCCCCAAACGACCTTTCCTCGCAAAACCCCCCCAAGGTAAAAAGTTCTTAATTTTTAGACGGAAATACTCTTCTCGTACAAACCAAATCATTTCGTGATCCCAAGTACAGTAGTGCCGGAGCGCAGTATACTACTGCCGGAGTGGAATGTCATGAAGCACTGCTGAAACGTGGTGCTACGTTGCTGGAGCGAGCTGCCAGAGTGCATATTTTCAATGCCAGAGCACATTCTCAGATTGTTGGAGCAGACAGCCAGAGTGTGCAGTATCACTGCCGGAGCGCAGTTCTCAGTATCCTTGCTAAAAAATGACATACACTTTCCTTCTCTAAAAAAGAAACTTCCTACCCACCTTAATCTTAAAAGACAATCATTTTTATTCATTTTATCATTCCTAAACAAAGAGAAATACACAGTAATTAGAAGTTTCTACCTCTCTCTACGCGTTAAACTACTTTTTTCATTCATCAAATGCAACCCAATACAATAGACATTAATCTCTTTAATAATTCTTTCCAAAAGTATTTCTAAACCTTTCCCTTTCTAAAGGATTTTCCTACTGAAAAATGACATATACTTCCTTTTCTAAAAAGATAACTTCCTACCAACCATTAACAGACAAACTTTTCCATTCATCTTATTATCAGAAGGTTAACAATAATGGAAATTTATAATCTCCAAACAAAATCCACTAAAAGAAATAAAGATTGACTAAAGAAAGGAAATAAAAAAATAGAAAAACCACGATAATTTCTCGCAACCACATTTTCTCACTAATTCTTCTTTTTTCTGCCTGGATCTGCTCGCTCCGAATAATCTAGAGCGATCAACTTGAACTGATGAAAATCAAAATAAAAAATTAAATAAAGTTTTTTAATTCTACATATCTTGATTTGAATCAAGGGCTAAGAGAAAAGTAGTTGCCTCATTTTTGCATCCATTGATTACAAGAACAATTATAAATAGCCATGTGTAACCCACTCATATAAAATATCTAGGGAAAATTACAAAAACTCTCAAGACTACACTTTCTATGCAACTTACCCCCAACTTAACTTTTTTTCTCACGTTTTACCCCAAAATATACTTTCTACTCAAATACCCCCAACCAAAAAAACAAAAAAAAATACCTAAACTACCCTCCCTTACTTCTAACTTACCCACGCCTCTCTCTCCTCTATCCTACCAAAACAGGGGCTTCCACACTGTGTAAGTGTGGTTCAGTAGTAGGGCTCCGGCACTATGTAAAGTGCGGTCTGACAATAGAGCTTTGGCATCGTGTAAAGTGCGGTAAGGCAATAGGGCTTTGGCATTATGTAAAGTGCAGTTCGACAGTTACAAAGGGTGGTCTATAGTTGCAAAGGGCGGTCCAGCAATAGATGTTACTGTATCCCAAACTCCGACACTATTGAAAGGGCGGTCCAGCAATACACAGTTTCGATTCAGTACATATGTTAGGGCGGTCCGGCACTTGTTCGCTTCGGCAATGTGCCACTGGGGTTCAAAAGTCAACATTAGATCTAGCCAAAATGATTTTTGTGTACATGAAGGGCATTTCCATCTTAAAAAAATGAAAATTTTCCCTTGGGGGATATTTACATAGAAGGTTTGTTTTGGGGAAAAAAATGAGAGAAAAGGTTAAGTTGGGGGTAAGTTGCATACAAACTGTGGGCTTGGAGGTTTTTTGTACTTTTCCCAAATATCAATTATTTGGACCAGGCTCGTACAAAAACTGTTGTAATTCAAATAATTCTATCATATAATACATAATATCTTATGGTTTTGCATATAAATTATAATAGTATTGTGGTGGAATGTGTGACCCGGTGTTTGAATAATCGAATCGGCCTCGAAAATAGGCCAAGGGCCGGATCCGAGTAATAGGTAAACCTACGGTCCTAGCCAGTCTCAAAAGTATAAAAAAAATACAAAAATATCCTTAAAAAAATGAAAAGTATACTTAAAGTGTGAATAACTAAAGGATATCCAAATGGATTTTAAAAAATTATTTTTCAAATTTTTCAAAAAAGATACAAAAATGTAAAAAAATAAGTATTCATGGCCAAAACACTTTTCAATCTTTGCCAAAATGATAAAAAACTATTCAAAAACACATTACAAACAAATCCTTTATTTTTTGGGATTTCATAAGTTTTAACCCTTTTTCGGTTTTTGAACAACCGAAATGGATGGATTTTCAGTTGTTCAAAAACAAAAAATACGCTAATTTTGGTTCTTGAACAACCAAAAATAGCAGGGCTCAGTTTAAACTTCTGAAATACGTAGTCCTATTTTCAGTTGTTTGACAACCGAAAATATAACATTTTCGGTTGTTGAACAACCGAAATAAGAATGCTAATTACAAGCTTTTGTCTTATTTTCAGTTGTTCAACAACCGAATATAGGACATTTTCGGATTTTGAACAACCAAAAATGTCCTATTTTCTGTTGTTGAACAACAGAAAACAAGACATTTTCGGATGTTGAACAACCGAAAATAGGACTGCATATTCCAACAAGATTCTAGAATACACAGTCCTATTTTCCGTTGTTCAACAACCGAAAACAAGACATTTTTGGTTGTTCCACAACCGAAAATAAAAATGCAAATTCCAAGCTTCTGCCTATTTTTGGTTGTTCAAAAACTGAAAAATGGTAAAAAAGTCATTTTTAAAAATTTTCATTATGAAGAGAAAAAATGGATATTCCAGTAATAACGGAAACTATTTGGTATTTAAGTAATAACGAAAACTATTATGGATATATACGTAATTATCTCTTCTTTTTTAAATTTTTTAATTAAATATTTTTTTGTATTATTCAATAAAATATCTTGTTTTTTTCTTTTCTTCTTTTTTAATTTGAAATAGTTTCTCTCAAAATATTTGAGATAATTTCCCTCTAAAAGATTTCAAGTAGTTTCTCTATCAAAAATTTTTAGGATAGTTTCTCTCACTAAAAATGATTAAGTATTTTTTTCTCTCTAAAACTTAAAATTCAAAATAGTTTCTCTCTCTAAAAGTTTTAAGTACCGTGTCTCTCAAATTTGATATACTTCGTCTCTTTAACATTTTAAGATACTTTTCTTTCTAAAACTTAAAATATGAGATAGTTTCTCTCTCTAAAATTTTTGAGATAGTTTCTCTCTCTAACAAATTTAAGATACTCTCTTTTTAAAACAAAAAATTTGATATAGTTTCTCTCTCTAAAATTAAAGACAGTTTCTATCTCTAAATGTTTTTGAATACCTTCTCTCTTTGAAAATTAAAATTGAGATAATTTCTCTCTTTAAATTTTTTTATGTGTATTTTCTCTCTCTAAATATTTTCAAGTACTTGCTTTCTCTAAAACTTAAAAATTTGACATACTTTCTATTGATATAGTTTCTCTTTCTACATGTTTTGAGATATTTTCTCTCTCTAAAAATTTTCAAGTACTTGCTCACTCTAAAACCTAAAATTTGAGACAGTTTCTCCCTCTAAAACTTGATAAATTTGAGATAATTTCTCTTTCTAAAATTTGATATAGTTTCTCTCTCTAAAATATGATATCGTTTGTCTCTCTAAAACTTAATTTGAGACAGTTTCTTTTACTAAAATTTTGGAGATAATTTCTCTCTCAAAATTTTCAGTACTTTCTATCTCTAAAACTTAAAATTTGAGACAGTTTCTCTATCTAAGAATTTTCAGGTACGTTTTCTTTTTAAAACTTAAAATTTGAGATAGTTTATCTCTTTAAAAAATTTGATATAGTTTTTCTCTCTAAAAAATTTCAAGTACTTTATCTCTCTAAAACCTAAAATTGATAGTCTCTCTCTAAAAATTTTGAGATAGTTTATTTCTCTAAAACGTTTTTTAGATACTTCTCTCTTTAAAATTGGATATAATTTCTCTCTCTATTTAAGATATTTTCTTCTAAGACTTAAAATTTGAAATAGTTTTTTTCTATGAAATATTTGAGATAATCTTTCTCTCTAAAAAATTTCAATACTTTCCTTCTCTAAAATTAAAAATAGTTTCTCTGTCTAAAATTTTAAGATACTTTCTCTCTCTAAAATGTAAAATTAGAGATAGTTTTTATCTCTAACTCACGGGGGTATTTTTGTGGAATTAATTATATTCTATAAAGTGGATGTCTCTATAACGGGAAAATCTAGCTAGAAATCAATTTTCGAGGGTAAAGGAAATGATACAAATTTCTTTATTTTTGGCTTGAAATGAAGAAAACAATGGAAGTACATTTTAATTTCAAAATTTTGACCCAAATGCCAGAAATGTGCCATTTCTACTAAAATACATTTATGAAAATGTATTTCCAGATAT